AAACTTGGACGAAGACCTGAGGAGGTGAGGGAGCAAGCTGTGTAGCTATCTGAGAGAAGAACTGGACAGAGACAGCAGCAGATGCGAAGGTCTTGAGGAAAGGCTGTGATTGGCTTGTTTAGGGAATAATGAGGCCAGAGTGATAGGAGCTGAATGAATCAGTGAGAAGAATAGATGTGATGGGGGCCCAAATTGTGAAAGGACTTTCTTGGCCGCTGTGAAGATTTGGATTCAGAAGAATACTATGATCTGACTCAGGCTTTAAAAAGATCACGCTATCTACTGCATTCAGTGTCTGAAGAGACATGGCCTGAAATGGCCATGCTCTTACAACAAACCAGATTAGAATTGATGGTGGCTTGGACCAGGTTTGTAGGGGTGAAGGTGGCAAGAAGTAGAGAGATTCTGGGTATATTACTGAGAGAGGACTGATGGGATTTGCTGATGAGTTGCATATAGGTTTGAAAGATATGGCCTGAGCAAACAGAAAGCTGAAGTAATCGTTAACAAAGATCAGAAAGACCGTGAAATTAGGTATTTGGGAGAATGATCAGGAATTTAGTTTTATATCTATAAGGTTGAGATGGCATTTTGATATCCAACAACAACAATAATAATAATAACAACAATAATAGGTGTTTAGATATAAAACACTGGCACTTAGGAATATAGTGCTTACTATAGATAAAAATTTGAGAGTTGTCAGCACACATAGTATTTAAAGCTACAGAATTACACAAGATCACCAAGAAAGGGAATTTAGACAGAGAAGAGAAGAGGTTTAAGGATTGAGTCCTTGAGTACTTCAGTGCTTAGATGTCAGCAAGATGAGGAGGATGCATCAAAGATTAGATGGAGCAGCTAATAAAATGAGAAGAAGACTGGGAGGGTAGTCTTGGAAGACAAGTGAATAAAGTATTTCAGCAAATAGAAAAGTGATTCACTGTTTCATATGCTGCTCATGGCATAAGTGAAGTAAGGTGACTTTTGAATTTAACAGTGTGGTCGTTGGCAGTATGACCTTTTCAAGCTCTGTCTCAGTGGAGTATTGGTAGTGATAAAAGTGGCTTTAAGAAAGAATTGAGTAGAAAAAAATAGAGAGACTGAATATATACAGTCTTTTAAAGTTATGTTTAATAGGGGACTAGGGAAACAGTAGTAGGTGAAAGGGGATGTCAGTCAAGAAAAGGTGTTTTTTTTTGTTTGTTTTTTCTTTTTGTTTTGTTTTTCTTTAAAGCAGGGGAGATTATGGCGTGTTTACATGCTAATAGGAACAATCCAGGAAAGGTGGAAAATTGATAATGCAGATGGGAGAGACAGCTGCTGAAAAGAGGTCCTAGAGCAAGAGCAGATAGATTCAGTGCTACAAGCACATTGGATTATGAATTGATCCAAAATACAGGAAGGCATGCAGAGAATTAGGGGCACAGACAGAGGTATTGGATAATATAATGATGGGAATTTGTGAAAAATTTCTTCTGATTACTTCTAATTTTCCCATGAAATGATAAGCTAAATCAACTGAGAGTAGGGATGGGGAGGAGAAGTTGAGAAGGTATGAAAATATTATCTAGCAGGGCAGAAGAAAGAGTGCAAGATGATGGTTGAATGGCACCAGGGGTCAAGTTCATGCTCATGAACTTAGAGACAAGTAAGCATGGCAGCTAGGTGCTTTCTCAGCTAGGTTGCGCTGAGTGGCATAGTCACAGAGTTGGCTGAGAGTGAAAGTTTTGCCAGGTTAAGAATGTAGAAATTATCTGTGAGAGACTAATTGCAGCATTTAAATTGTGTAAAGAATAAATAAATATCAAATAGTAATAAGTACGTTGAGGACACATTGGGAGGGAGGGACAATGAGTGTTGATTGAAGGATCAAGAAATTGTATATCCTTGTGGGGTGGGAGAATTGTTGCACTGGAGAGTAGAGGAAGAAACTGGGAAGAGGTGGTGGTCAGAGAGTGGGATGTTTAAAATTGAGGTCAAGGAGAGGTTGCAATTGGAAATGACAAAGTCTGCTCTGTGACATGAGAGTGAGCAACTGATACAGGGAGGGGGCCAGACCCTCAAAATATAGAGACGTTCAAGAAACGAAGACAGCAACGTGTCAAAATGATCATCTGTGTGGAGAGTAAGTCATCAAGAATTAGGCAGGAGTAACACTGGGGAGAGGGCCACAGTGAGCCAAAACCTAACATCTGTAAGGAATGAGGGGCAGTGGCCAGGCGGGAAGTAGATAGGTCAGTGGGTGACATTGTGTAGTATTCCTCAACCACCCATGCTGTTGAATATCATATGCATCTTTTTTTTAAAATTATAAACTGATGAACCAAAAGATAATTATAGAGACAGTAAAGCAACAAGTAGACTGTCATATTACAGCAGGTAGGGTAGGGAGATCTGGGGGAGATAATAGATCAACCGAAGGACTTGTATACATGCATATAAATACAACCAATGGGCAATGTTAAAATAGCATATGCATCTTGCTCCAGAAAATAGGCTGTACAGGTGTTTTATTTGTCTGTTATATGTTTTTAGTGACCCATTACCAACTTAATGTCCAGATACTGTTACATGTGTGAAACCTGCTTAAGAGAATTTGATTCTGATTCAGATTGCTGAGTATTTTACCGGTAGTTTGAGCTTGCCTTTCTTGCCCCAGGTTCGATATCCAGGAGAGCATTCCTGAGGTAGGAAGCATTCCCCGACTCCTGGCTGTGGGGTTTGTGTGGCCTTGGACAAGCAACTTAAACTCTCTGAAACTTAACTGGTTACTTCATCTGTGAAAGAAGGCTCATTGTGAGGGCTAATTGTGAAGATTAAAGGAGATAATGCAAAAGCATTTAAGCATGGTCCCCAGCATATCATAGGAACTCGATTCAAGTTTTATTTAGCAGAGCTAAAATTTGGTATTTTGAGTTAAAAACACTGCAGAAAATGACCACCTAGTCTTGGCAAAAAGAAAATGTCCTTTGTGAAAATAAAGTATGTGATCCGCTAGCTCATGTATGTTATGTAGTGTGTTTATAGATTAGCCCACCAGATTGGGAATTCTGTAAAATGGGTTTACTGTTGCAGCAAAAGATTTTTCTCTATACTTATTATATGATTAAGGCAAAATTATTTGTATTGCAATTACCCAAATTCAGTAAAGTGTTTAATGAGGCATTCACTGCCTAGGGCAGGTTAGCATAATAGTAAATTGTGTTAATTTGCCCAAAACTTAAGAAGCTAAGTGTACTACTGTTTTTTAGATTGTGGTTCTTTAAGGGGGAAATGAGTATTTTATGAGATGTTTCTAAACACAGATTTTGATTTCTCTATCATCTTCTCCTTCGGGCATTTTAAAAATCACCATGAGCATCCTAGAGAGTAGATCAATAAGAGAGTAACAGGTGCTTAGTGTCAGGGCGATAGCAACAGGGCCGATGGGAATTGGGACCTTCCATGATACAGAAGCATGGTGCCTTGTGTATCTATAAAGGAAAGTGTGGTGGAATCCAAGTCAGGCGACCTCAGTTCATAAGACTCTGCTGGTAGGCCTTGTTTTCTCCATCTGAAAAGTGAGCATAATGGTACCTGATGGGGCTGCCATGGTAACTGAATGAGAAGAGAACAGATATTATATATATATATATATATAATGTTAGTTAATGGTAATGGATTATTAAGATGCCTTCTAGGGAATGAAAGAGTTGGTTAAAGATAACACTGTCAGGTATCCCACAGAGTGATTCTAGGCCATTTTCATCATCCCTTCTCTGCCAGGAAGGAAGGGATGCAGGCCTTTTTGAGAAAATTATGCTCCTCTGGACATGTCAAAGAATAGGTGGGAACCAAGCTAATTCATTGATTCAGGGTACTTTCCTTTGAGACTGAGGTGGACAGAAAGCTTCAATGATAATGTGGAGGGTCAATAAGTGATGGTCTAACCTGAAGCCATCAGTTTTAGAAGGTGAAAAGACCTTTCACAACTCCCCCCACCCCAGCTTTTATAAATATATGAGGCTCAGAAAGGACAGTTACAATAACATTTTGAAATAAATTTCAGTTATAATCACTGTGCGTTAAGATTGCAAAAACTGTTGCATTCGTGAGAATGTTGTTTCAGCCGTAGCCTCTGAATGAGTTTAATCCTTTTGACATGTTATAGTGACTCAAGGGCAATTGAGACAGAGAGCCATGTCTCCCTGCACAGGGAGAGACTGAGCTTCCTAACAAGTCTGGTAGTTTATTTGAACTAGAGGAACATTGTGATGGAATGACCTGTTTTGACCAGGTCTTTGGCCCCTGCTGGGATCTAGGATGAGGCCATCAATGTGTGTAATTATGCTAAGTGGCAGAAGTCTTACTGCTCTTCCCTTTTGACTCCTCCAACCCCAGCTCCAACCCAGGGCCTCTGGAATAATGACATCCAAGATCCTTCCTTAACTAGGAAAATAGAAACTCCTTGAAGGAGTTTCCCTATGAGTTCTGCCACAGAAGTAAATAGACATTTGCATGGATACTAAATCTATGTTTTGTTAGATCTGACTCTTTGGGACCCACCAGATCCTTTCTCATCTTGATCTTTCCTCTGTACCATTCTCAATCCCACTTAACAGTATCATTATAATGTGTCTCATGTCACCAGTATACTATTTTTTTTTTTTAATGTTCTGGGAGAATCTTAAACAGCAACCTCACATGTAACTTTATGGAATTGTTCCAACTGTTACCCAAGCTTTTCCAAATGTGTGATGTTATAAGTATCCTGCTTTTACATAGCAAGACCATCAATAAATTGCTCCATGGTATTGCTTAACCCCCAACCATAGCATCAGGGAGATTTGCCGGGCTCCTCCAGGGAACACCTTTGCCACATTTTGTCATTTGCTTGGAATGTCAAACAGGGCCCTCTTTTGGCACACATGGGGGATGACTCTCAGAGCCACACAGAAGAGCAGGTATATATATAGATGTTTCCTCCTGTTTTATTTTACTTTTTTGAATCTATACAGGCAACAGCCTCAGATTCCAATCACCACAGGAACAGGTGTTGTGTATCCTGGTGCTATTACTATGGCAACGACCACACCATCACCTCAGATGACATCTGACTGCTCTAGCACCTCTGCCAGCCCAGAGCCCAGCCTCCCGGTCATCCAGAGCACTTACGGCATGAAGACAGATGGCGGAAGCCTAGCTGGAAATGAAATGATTAATGGAGAGGATGAAATGGAAATGTATGACGACTATGAAGATGATCCCAAATCAGACTATAGCAGCGAAAATGAACCCCCAGAAGCTGTCAGTGCCAACTGAGGAGTATTTGTTTGCTGAATTAAAATACTCTGACATTTCATCTCCCCTTCCCCAACAAAAAAAAGTTCTTAAAGAGCCCGCATGCATTTGTGGCTCCACAATTACATCAGCAGAATGGTCTTAATTATTTTGTAAAGTGTGTGAGACAGATTAAGTTTTCCCTGATTTTTCATGAACTTGAGTTTTTTGTCGTTATTGTTATTGTTGTTGTTGTGTTTTTTTTTTTTTTAAATTTAGGTGAAGACATATTAAATATGAGACACCAGGACTTGAAAACTTATCTCAACCCATAGCTGTCTTACAAGTCTTATATTTTTGTCTTACTATTTTTTTCTTTTGGATGTTGATAAAAGGTTTAAGTTACTGTTTTAGATGGGGTTAAACATTCTCACTCAGGTATGCTGTGCCGGCCTACAGGTTGTGAATGTGTTTTTATTCAGAATCACTTCAGAAAATAACTGAGGATTTCATTTTATGAAACAGAGCAAGTCCACGGCGTGTGCAGCTGCATGTAGAGCGTATTCAAAAGTTCTCGGAATTCCATGTGTCCGTGTGTAGAGTTAAACTTTGAATGTGCCAAACTTTCTCATCACTTTTGGATCTTAATATTTTGAAAAGTCTTAAAGGAGACACTGCAAAGTCTTAGACAATCTTTGGCATCTTAAAATAAAATAGCAAACCAGACCTTTTTTTTTTTTTTTTTTTCCAGAAAAATGGTAAAGTACTCAGGAATCTGGAGACAAGATATTGTAAGGAATGAACAAGGTTGCCACAGTGCATGTACCCAATCATGTTTGCCTCTAGACGTGCCATCAGTGTGTCACGTGTATGATGTGTGCACACCAGAGCGATCACCACACCAGATACCGACACGGTGGTCTCCTCTGCCAGAGACCACCTCTCACTACATCCATCATCCCTTTGCCTTTAACCCTGACATTCAGTCTTAACACATTTTTCTCTTAAATAATTTATTCATTCCAGAATGTCAAGGGTCCACTTACTATTTATTTTTTTTAAAAAGTTGTTGGTGGCATTAATTTAATAATTCTTGTTTTTTCACCTTCCTTCCCCAAAGAACTTTTCAGTCCTTTTCACCTCCTTCTCCTGCTAGATACAAAAGATGTACATAGTGATTTTGTCCCCAGAGCATCTGGTAGCATTTCTGAAACAAGGTACTATTAAATACCTTCGTGTTTTGTTTTGTTTTTAAACATGAGTGTGTATTGTGCTGCAGGGCTGTGTGTTTGGATATAGGTGCAGAGTCTTACACTTCAACAGCTAGGCCCTTGAGGTTTGCTGTGATCTCGAGTCTCTTGCCAGAATCTCCCCCTAAGTCAGCTCAGCAGCAAGTGGTAGGATCTGCCTCTGTGGCATTTGACCTGAAGGTCATGCAGCAGAAAGGGTCAGCATCAAGGGTCAAAGGTGGTGACTCCCAGCAGGAAAGTCCCGCAGCCAAACCTATAGCCCAAGGCTGGGGGCCTTGGAGGAGGCCACAGTAACACTGTCATGGGCTGGCACCTTTACACGGAGTTGCCTTGTCCCATCTGGCCCATTTAGGGGATTCTTTGCAAAATCCCCAGGATGCAAGAAGCCATGTGACAGGCTCTACAAAAAGACAGAGGCAGAGAGCCATGATACATCCAGAGGGTGAAAGAAAACCGTAGGGAAGGAGAAGGAGGGGAAATACATTCTCTACAGGATGTCCCCACTGTTATCTCGGGGAACAGATCACTCCTGGAGCAGCAGAGGAGTTCCTTCCGGCTCATGTGTCCTCTGTCTGCAGCCTCCGTGTGAGCAAGATTAACCGCACTTATCACACAAGGACTTCTTTGGAGATGTGCTGATGGCTTGGGAGGCAGTGAGATTGGATTCCCCATCTCCTCTTCATAGGGATCTTAGCCTGATCGCCTATGGGGGAGGGAAGCCATCACCAGAGTAATTCAGTTGGAGAATGTCTTCGATTGGGACAGTTCACCTCATAGGACGACCCAGAATCTGATCACTAGAACATAGGAACGGCCCCCTCAGATTTCTTGAGCCATTTTTGTCACTTGGAAGAAAATAGTGTACCTTCATATTTATTTAAAGAGTGCTCAAGGCCATACTTCATAGCAATAACTAGCCACAATATACTGGCTACATCGTTAGCTGGGAGTGCTCTCCATAAGCTGATTAAGGTACTGATAGGAATGTTTTGTTCTTAATATTGGTTGGGGATTGGAACTTTGTTTTTGTACATTTATTTCAAATGAGGAGGAGGTCATTTTTTTTTCTTTAAAAAATGAGTATTTATTGTCTTACTAATTTCTTTTGAACGTATACCTCTCCTCCTCGTTCATCCTCATGTTTTTTTTTTTTTTCTCACCCTCCGTGGCTTTGCTTTGCCCTCTCCACTCCTTTTTTTTTTTTTTTTTTTTTTTATTTTGTTGCATAGGTAGAGTGCTGTATGGCTCGCATTGTAATGTATGTAATTAATTTTGCACAGAGGCAAACATTTAGAATAGTAGGTTAATTTTGTTTGTTTTATGACCATGCCAAAATAATATTCTGGGCTGGTGGAGAACAAAGGACTGTTCTTTAGGACTGAAACTTGATTTCACTTGTAGTAAAACAAAACAAAACAAAAACAACAAAAAAACACACACACTCACAGATGTTGTTTCGTAAGTGTTATAAGCACTGGATATAAATGGTATTTTTTATCACTTCTGACTAATGTGAAACTGTTGTACGAAAACGACATGAACAAAAGTCATCTGTTTCGACTCGTGTGGGCTTGCCTCACAGTTGCCGGATTTGAGTCATTTTTATGTCTTGTTATTTCATTTATTTATGCAAAATACATGTGTGCATGAACACTTTGTTTTAGCTCCAGCTCTGCCCCGGCACTGGGGCTCAGTCACTTCGAGCCGCGCTCTCGAAAATGAAAGGCTATTCAGGAATGATCTGATCGTAAACACCCTTGCATTGGGTCGAACAGTGATGCTGTATTTGAATCTAAATTCTGTGCCTAAGCAGTTTATCTTATTTATTTAGCCAAGTTTGGCTCTAAAAATCCTTAGAAATTCAGAACGACAATCATAGGGATCACTTCATTTTCTCTGCAGTGGGGCTTAAAACAAAGTTTTTTTTTTATGACTTTACCATCTCATTTTAGATTTGTTTTTCTAATTGTGTAAATATAACATAGAAATAGAGTTTATTTTTGGTTCATGAATACTTAGTGAGATATAAGTTATGTATTTCCTTTCTGTTCTCTCTCTGTATGTGTTGGTCCAGACTAGAAGTTGAGGAGTCACTGCACCGTGTGGGGGGTAGTGGGTTACCAGCCACCATGAGGGCACTGCGTCCCACTGGCGCTGGGGGGAGAAAGCCCTTCCCTCGGGCCTCATGCAGTTAAAGCCCGCTATCCGCAGAATCAGACTTTGGCTTTTTTTTCTCAGAAAGTCAATGAATGGAACATACCAAGTGTCCAGGACAGCTGGGATAGAGCCCGTTTTGCTTTGTGAATCCACATCCATTGAGTAAGGTAAACTCTGTGACCATTTTTAATAGCAAGAAGCGTGAATGTTATTACAAAAGCAAAAATCTGCCCCTGAGATTGGTCATGAAGTAAAGTCCCACCATGCCAATTAAAGGAAATATTATTAATAAACTTTTTCAGTGCTTTTTATTTCGGAGTGTTTTCAAATCAGAGATAAAAAATTATCTCCATTTTGGTAAAGAATTTACAAGGTTAGGGTTTCCATGTCACCTAGCATAGGGACACTGGCAGACAATCCTAGCCTAAAAATGGACCATAAGAAATAGGAAGGAAGGAAGGAAGGAAGGAAGGAAGGAAGGAAGGAAGGAAGGAAGGAAGGAAGGAAGGAAGGAAGGAAAGAAAGAAAGAAAGAAAGAAAGAAAGAAAGAAAGAAAGAAAGAAAGAAAGAAAGAAAGAAAGAAAGAAAGAAAGAAAGAAGAAAGAAAATGAACAAGTTAATCTGTGGGGCAGGCAGGCAATTTCTCTGTTTCACTGGCCCATGTGATGTAGTGTCTTCCCCAGAAGGTCTGAGAGCTTTGTTGTTTTCACAATCACCCAGCTCAACCTTTTAGGAGCGCATCAGTTTGCTTCATTTGGTATTTGATACTCCTCAGCCTTGTCCTCAGGCTCGGTTCTGTTTGCCAGGGTCCTGACACCCACTGGAAGGCCAAGTTCTAAATTCAGGTGTGGGCTCAGTGCTATTGAGCTTGTCAAAGTCTGGCCTCCCCTGAACATAGGCCCCACCCTCCTCTGGGAGCCTGGGTGTGTGAAAAGGGTGTGACCACCCTAGGCTGAAATCAAAGGCTGCTTTCTTTTCCTGAGAAAGCCCTGCTGCTGCTTCTTTGGAGCACCCCCTACCCAGCCAGGAGCACAGGCACTAGCTGAAAGCAGGGACTATTTCCAGGAAGTCCATCTGCCCACAGTAGGAAAGGAACCTGGTCACTTAAAAACCACAGCCCAGGCTGCTTATCTCAATTTACTGATGCTGCAGAGAGGGGATCTCTGCCCACTCATTAGGGAACGAGAAAGAATCACCTACTAGTTTTAAATCATACGAAAAGCCCTGTACCAAGTGCCAACAACTGCAAACTGTGCAGCTAAACGAATGTATTGGAACTATTTCTGGGTCTTGCTTTCTGATGAGAAAATGACAAAGTGGTTGCCTGTAGCCTTGCCTGATTCTATACACGTTTGTCTAAGGACTGAGTTGGCACTTAAGCTCACTTCTCCCAAGTATCATATTGTATGACCTCATTTGTCCTTTTACAAAAGCACTTGCATCGTTTCCTTCAGTCCTCTGAACCCTCCCCCACCAGCGTGTTCTCTTCCTTAATAAACAACTTCTATCTGTTATTTATGCTGATCATGTTCTGTTTCCGATGCCCTATGCTATGGAGCATAACCCTCTGCCGATATCATTGAAAATATTGATATGCAAACACATTTCCTTTTCATCCCCAGCCCCTCTTTTCCC